AATAGGGTCTTCCTCAGGATCAATATGTAAACATAAAACCTACATATATATAGGAAAGCATAAAGTGTACTCACCAATTGTGATGAAATTCCCTCATCCCTCCAGTCCGAACCCGGAAGTGGAAACCGGAAGTGACGTGACGTGAAAAAAATGCGTGTACCACTGTTACCTGTGGACGTGGTTGCTAGGAAACCAATAAATACATTAAAGAATTGGTTTAAAAAACCGAGTGGATATTGGATTATAAGTGGCTATTCAAATATTATACGTGCAGCCAGTATATATATTATGTGTAGAGTCATTGTATGCATGTGACAGTGAAAAAGTGCAGTGATAAGTGCCTAGAAAAATATACAAAAACAGATGTGTGGTAAAGTGACAAATGCCCAGAGTGAAACAAGTGTACATTAAGACAAATAACATACATACTAAAAACATAAGTATTGGCCATGGATGAAAACAACAATATAGCATTATATATTGTGTTGTCTCTAAATCATCTATTAGTATTTCTCTATAGGCTTAAAGGCATAGGTACATTATAGAATCCAATAGTATAGACCACAGAAATTTTTTTTACACAAATGATATTCCGCAGTCAAAAATGGACTTATGAAATATGGAGTAGTATCTCTAGGGAATAAAAATATATATACATAGATCTAGAGTTATTAGGGAATTCAAAGGTTATATCTTAGAGGATCTGTGACCAACGGGATGTATATTCCCAAAATAATATATGAAGCAGTATATATATAGGAAAAGAACAACTTTAAACAGTGTATTAGAACCAAGGTTATAGAGGCAAATTAGAGACTAACTATAAGAAAACTGAGTACAGAATGTTCTCATTGAGCCTCTTACTTATTGCTCTTTCCTGTAACTATTTTAAATTTGAAAACAATTTTTTCCTACAAACGTCCGGGACAGCTATGGGTGCAGCAATGGCACCATCTTATGCAAATGCCTTTATGTTCGTTTTTAAAAATACATGGATTCTACAAAAATATGGGAATCAAATTAAACACTATCATCGTTTTGTGGATGATATTTTTTTGATTTGGATGGGCAATATGGAGGATTTGGATTCCATGTTACAAGAGATCAATCAAGCTTCTACACCAGTGAAGTTAAGTATGACATGTGACATACAATCTATAGAATTTTTGGATGTGACTGTATTTAAAAACCAAGGCAAGTTGGAATTTACATTATACCGCAAAGAGACAGAGCGTAACACCTTATTACTATCTTTGAGTTTCCATCCCAGGAATTTTAAAGCCTCTCTACCTATATCCCAGTTTCTGAGGGTATACAGATACAATAGCACCAAAGAAAGATGTGAAACACAACTTCAAGAAATGTGGAATAGATTTAGGGCTAGGGGATATCCTTTCTGCACTCTTGAAGCAGCATTGAAAAGAGCGAAAGAAATATGGGAATCTGAAATGAAGAACGACAAAAAAGTTAAAACAATGACAACATCTAGGATTTTCCTACCCCTAACTTTCCACACAGGGACTCCAAGAATTAGAGACTCCATTTATAAACACTGGGATATGTTACAAACAGACAAACAACTACCTAAATCTTTCCAAAATCGTCCTATGGTAAGCTACAAGAGGAATAGAAATCTTAAAGACATCCTTGTAAAAAACGATCCCAAAAATTGCTACGCTAAAACCTCTAAAATTGTCAAAAAAGGATGTTTCAAATGCGGAGGATGTGTTACCTGTAGTCACATGGTCAGTGGGGCTACTTTTGCCCACCCTCACAGTGGTCAAAGAATTAATATTTCTCATTATATTACTTGTACCACTGACCATGTGATCTACTTAATCACGTGCCCATGCGGATTATCCTATGTGGGCAAGACAGACCTTACCCTCAGGGACCGGATACGGGGCCATCGATCTACAATCACAACTGCATTTTGGGACAATTATAGTGACAAGCCAGTGGCGAAACATTTTCTCGCTCTTGGACACAGACTACAAACCCTTCGTTTCACAGCAATTGACCATATCCCCCCTTTACCTAGAGGGGGAGACAGATTTAAAATGCTTCTACAGAAAGAGGCACGATGGATACATCGATTGGACACTGTAGCACCTAAGGGGCTCAATGAGAACATTCTGTACTCAGTTTTCCTATAGTTAGTCTCTAATTTGCCTCTATAACCTTGGTTCTAATACACTGTTTAAAGTTGTTCTTTTCCTATATATACGGCTTCATATATTATTTTGGGAATATACATCCCGTTGGTCACAGATCCTCTAAGATATAACCTTTGAATTCCCTAATAACTCTAGATCTATATATATATTTTTTTATTCCCTAGAGATACTACTCCATATTTCATAAGTCCATTTTTGACTGCGGAATATCATTTGTGTAAAAAAAATTTCTGTGGTCTATACTATTGGATTCTATAATGTACCTATGCCTTTAAGCCTATAGAGAAATACTAATAGATGATTTAGAGACAACACAATATATAATGCTATATTGTTGTTTTCATCCATGGCCAATACTTATGTTTTTAGTATGTATGTTATTTGTCTTAATGTACACTTATTTCACTCTGGGCATTTGTCACTTTACCACACATTTTCTTTTGTATATTTTTCTAGGCACTTATCACTGCACTTTTTCACTGTCACATGCATACAATGACTCTACACATAATATATATACTGGCTACACGTATAATATTTGAATAGCCACTTATAATCCAATATCCACTTGGTTTTTGAAACCAATTCTTTAATGTATTTATTGGTTTCCTAGCAACCACATCCACAGGTAACAGTGGTACACGCATTTTTTTCACGTCACGTCACTTCCGGTTTCCACTTCCGGGTTCGGACTGGAGGGATGAGGGAATTTCATCACAATTGGTGAGTACACTTTATGCTTTCCTATATATATGTAGGTTTTATGTTTACATATTGATCCTGAGGAAGACCCTATTGGGTCGAAAAGTTGATCAAGTTATCTGTAAACTTTTTATGGATTAAATACTACTATTTTTCGCTGAAAGACCTTTGAGTGCATCCTTTTTTCTAACTATATTATATATATATATATATATGCATGTATATTAATGTGTGTATTAGTTATATATATATAATTATGCCTATAATATTTGCACATATATTAATGTACATTTATATATGCATAACAAACTGAGAGATGTCATTAATATATAACATATATGTAATGAGCACGTATTGGCCCAGTCTTGTTGCTAGGTGCATACTCCAGCACAATAACATATTTAAAATGCAGAGCGCACTCATAGGACGTCAAAATAAACATCTGCTTAAAATAAATCGCACTTTTGTTTTTTGAAGCCTATGAGTACTTTCTTTCATGTTGGAGTAATAATTTTTAATTTTAAGTTGTCTTTTCCAGGGCTGCTTTTAGTTCCCAGTCTGGCCCTATGCGTGAGAGTGTTGTGTGTGAGGGTGATGCGTGTGAGAGTGTTGTGTGTGAGAGTGCTGTGTGTGAAGGTGCTGTGTGTGAGGGTGTTGTGTGTGAGGGTGCTGTGTGTGAGAGTGCTGTGTGTGAGAGTGCTGTGTGTGAGAGTGATGTGTGTGAGGGTGCTATGTGTGAGGGTGCTATGTGTGAGGGTGCTGTGTGTGAGGGTGCTGTGTGTGAGAGTGATGTGTGTGAGGTATTTATCCCCCCTCCCTTCTTACTTTTAGCCTGTGGGGGGGGGGGGGCGCTGCCATTCTTGGTGGTGCTAGTGGTGAATGAACTCTAACTTGTGGGGCTAGAGTTTACTCTTGCGTGATCGGGGGTTTTGCCACGGCAACACTCCGGATCATGCGAGAGGAAGCTGCAAGATAGAGCTCTGCCGGGTCCTCTCTCCCTCCCCAGCCACATGTCTGTGCAAGTGGGAATGCAGCAGGGCCAGTGCTCGGATAGCGCAGGCCCTGCATAGACCGGCCGGGGAGATCCTGGTACCTCCTCTGCCCGCCTCGACCCATGGCCACCACAGCCCACCGGGCATTTGCTGGTGTGCCCGATGGCCAGTTCGGGACTGCTGTTATGACCTCATATTAACTGTTTGATGTTCATATGTCTGAAGGGTAGTTTGAGATAATCCTCTATGAGATAATACCCCATTTTTGTTTACATCTACTTTGCTTAAGGCTTTTTTATTTTCAAACATCTGACAAACTATAAGGCAAGACATTTTGTAAAACCTCTATTGCCTTATATCTGCAAAAGTTGAATAAATAATTTAAAAATAGAATTCTGCAAATTTAAAATATATGGTTTGAGGTATCCCTCACCTCAATCATTATCTGATATTTTGTACTAATTTTATGTGTCAGATTGCAACTTACAAATAAAAATTATTATATAATATTATTTTTATATATTTCTTTAAACATGGACATGACGAGGTTAATGTTCTGACTGCTTTTCCGTCTTTCGAAAATCTTAAAATAGCTCTATTAAATTGACCTGGTTTTCAAAAAAATAAAATAAAAATAGTTTCAAACATAATATCGTTTTTCACATTCCGTTGTTTGCCATAAACTACTGCCCATAATTCATGTGCACTTGGAGAAAGTCTAACTCATTCTATGGCGTAAACGAGATTTACTTAGTGCTTGTAATGTTCAAACACATGCAGCCAATTGGCTTATGCAGCAAACACTGTCAAGTTATTTGCATTTAATCCAACAAAATGAGAATGATTAGAAAAGCATGAAGCTTGTAGCAGTTTGTTAAATGCTTGAGGACCATGGATGGTTAAGGCCAGGATTTGGCAGTGCTTGTAGATTTAAAACAACAGAACAAAATCACAGCGGGCTACGAGATCCATATGGTTTTACTTCCATGGCTAATTCATAGCTTACAAGCATTTGGAGGGGATCACTATAAATTATAAATATCTATATTAAGAAGCCTCTAAGGCAAACATGACTATTTCAATACAGCTCTACAAGAGAACTAAGTAAAGGCGTACAGACACGAGGTATGCAAGTCAATGTTTATTTCTGCAGGGAGCCTATTGACATGGTTATTGCAATTGTTATCATTTTATTGCTGTATTGATCAGGAGCATTGAGCTCTGTTTGCTAGACGCAATTCCAGCAAAGTAAAGCCAAAATTGCAATTTACTAACTAGTGTAACTTTGTTGCCCTGACAATTAGTAACATACATACGTATTGCAATGTGATTTGTTAGTCACTAAATGGTGTGGCAGTTAATGGACTAAAAAGCCCTTTTAATGGCACAAGTGCTTTGCTGGGTAAGTCAAGGCGTTGCTGTCCTTTTTGGAACTGAAAGTGAAAGTAAAATAAGTTAGACGATTTGAGCACACCATTAACATGCTCAGTATTTAAAGTAATACTACCGTGTTTGGAGTACAAAGCTGTATTCCTAATGCTTTAATGACCCTGTGCCTGGATATCTGTCGTCGTAGTCCCCAATACAAATTTTTGTTGTTTCGAAGAAAGGTTTTACCATCTCCTTTTTGCATCTCCGAAGCTCTCTCTGCACTGCTCACCTCTCCATCTCCTGTGATGCCATGGAGGAGAAGTACACATGGTCGAGGTAATGTTATTTAAAAAAAAAAAAAAAAAATTGATTGTTTTAAATGAAACAGATTGACATGACGGGTGTTTGGGTTACAATACTGAACAGTATGATAACTATACGTAGATAGGATTCAAAATATGAATTAAAAGTTGCAGAGACAGTTCCACATAGGTTATTTAGAAATTTTAAGATTTAGATAAATTAGATAATTTAAAGTGGAGGTCTCCCAAAAAATGCTTGCAAAGAATATCACTTGGTCAGCGGAAAGGTTTTGTTAATAAAAGCCTTTTGTTGAGCATCCAGAGATTGGATGTAGGGCCCGCAAGAAATTGAGAAACCTTGCATTCTTTAAATTGGGGAGCCTCCACCCAATCCACTCGAAACATTCAGGCCAATTTGGATTGGCAGTGCATTAAGGTTAGTTTATCAGAATAATCTCTCTGGCAGCCGTTAGAACCATTTGTATAAATCTAGAATGTTTTGGAGCAGTTCCAGAAAAAATACTGAATATGTACCCTTAGCAATGGATGCTGTTTTAAACACAGCTTTTCAACACATTTTTTTAAACCATAGCATGTGGGATGGGTTGTGATCAAAAGGGTGATGCACAACAGTAATATAATTATAAATATTTGCCAAAACTTGTTGTACCAATACCTGTACCAATATGGTGCAAATTCTTGCTTGTTTTTATTTACCCATCATACAGCATGACAGACTATGTAAGCACTTTTATTATTATTATTATTATTATTATTATTATTATTGCCGTATATATAGCACCAAAAGATTCCGTAGCACTTTACAATATTATGAGAGGGGGGATTTAATTATAAATAGGACAATTACAAGAAAACTTACAGGAACGATAGATTGCAGAGGACCCTGCTCAAACGAGCTTACAGTTTAAAATAAATGATAATAATGATTCTATTCTAAGATAGCTGTGTTTTATTTTTAGGTGCTGCCCATACATGGGAAGCAAAAGACGACACATATTCCTAAATTTACAGCAGACGGCTGTAACCTTATCTCATCACCTCTAGTGAGTGGGGTATAAATCCTCAGTATCTAAGGATGAATAACTAATTTGTAAGCTTTGCAGATTACTTTAGCTCTGCAGCCTATTGTCTCTGCTTGCTATCGTTAAACGATCCACAATAGAGATGAAACATTTGCACGTGATCCAAACATCATGTTTGTGAAAATGAAGCAATGTGGCTCATGACTAAAACTAATAGAAACTCCAAGGTGTGTCTTTCAGCACTAAGGAAGGCTGGCGTCATCATTTAATGATGTGTGTAAGCTGGTGCACACAATTCGTGTTCATTGTTTTTGAGTATTATGTCCGGTTTTGTGGATTTGACCTTAGCAAACGAAGGGAAAATATAAAGTGACCAGATTGTCTGGGCAGAAACATTTAAATGAACACAGGTAAACACAAAGTTGCTGACATAGTAGTGGTTAGAGGTGGCGGTGCTATCTTAGAATCACATATTTTGTTACTGTTTAGGTGAACTTTCTGAGCTCAATAAAACAAGTCTAATTGAGGTAATTGGGTAACAACATCAACACCCCAATGCCACAAGACCTGATAGAAAGCTAGCAAACGCTTGATGTGTTTTCTTGTTTAAAATTTTGATGTTGTTATAATTTATCATGGTTATCATAGTTATAATAATTACATTCTGATACGGGAGCCATGCAAAGGATATAACCTGTACTGTTGCCTGTAGTGAACAAAAGGGTGTACTTTAAAATTATGGATTTCACCTGCAAACATTCTTTAAATCAGTCTGTTATAACTTATGGCCACTGGCAGATCCAGGTGGGGAGCACTGCGGCCATGGGGTGTAAGAATCGGGAAGGACACATTCCCCCAGGAATTCATGTGGGGGCTTGAGACGGAAAATCCCCCTAATTAAATTATTAATTTATTGTTGTTCAGAGGCAGCAGGAAGTGGAGAATAAGAACATATATAAGTTAATATATGATTAATATATAATAATAATAATATTGATAAAAATTCACAAAAAGTACAAATGACTCATGATAATATTAAATGTATGCTTACTAATGCACTGAGCCTATATAATAAAATGGGGGAACTAGAGGCAATAGCATACACTAAACAATATGATATAATATAAATAACAGAAACATGGTGGGATGAGACACATGACTGGGCAGTTAACTTAAATGGGTACACGTTATTTAGGAAGGATAGAAAAAACAAGAAGGGTGGTGGGGTATGTTTGTATGTCAACCATGAGTTAAAGTCAAATCTTAGGCATGTGGCCTGTGACGAGAAAAATGTGGAAGCTTTATGGGTAGATATCTGTTCGGGGAAAACGAAGGGAAATCAGTTATTGGTTGGTATATGTTATAAACCACCTAGTGTAAATATTAACGAGGAAGAACAGCTGCAAATCGGGGTAACACGTTAATTATTGGAGATTTTAATTACCCGAACATAAATTTGGATAGATTGACTAGTACTTCAGCAAGGGGAATCAGGTTTTTGAATGTGTTAAATGACACCTTTATGTCACAACTGGTACAAGCACCAACTAGAAAGGATGCTTGTCTGGATCTCATTATAACAAACAATGTTGATCTTTTAACCAACATTCAAGTAGGGGGAGCATTTGGGGAATAGTGATCACAATATGGTATTTTTTTAAATAAACTCAAAAAAGCAAAAGCATGTGGGGTAAAGTAAAACGTATAATTAAAAAAAAAAAACAATTTCAATAAGATTAGGGCAGCTCTACAATATATCAACTGGCATAAACTCCTTAGTGAAAAAAACACTGTGGATAAATGGAAACTATTCAGTATGTACCATTGGGTAATAAATATAAAAGAAACAAATTGAAACCAATGTGGCTTAGTAGAGAAGTAAAACAAGAGATTAAAAATAAGAAAAGGGTGTTGCAAGCATTTAAATCAGACAAATCAGAGGCATCCTATATAAGATATAAGGAAGCCAATAACGCTTGCAAAAAAGGCAATTAAAGTGGCTAAACTGGAAAATGAGAAATTGAAAATGAGAATGCAAAACCAACCCCCCAATTTTTTTCAAGTACATTAATGCTAAAAAAAACAAAAAATGAAAGTGTAGGTACACTGGAAACAGAGATGGGTCTGTTAGCTAATGAAGACCAGGAAAAGGCAAAAATTTGAAGTAACTATTTTTCTTCAGTATATATTAATGAGGATCCTATGGCAAGAGATATGCAAACGATTGCAGCAAAAAACTTGCACATACCTTGTGATTGGATGACTCGAGACAAGGTAAAGAAAATTAATGTAAATAATGCTCCGGGCCCTGACGGTATTCACCTACGAGTACTTAAGGCGCTAAGTGGGGAAATAAATGAATCAGTATTTAATTTAGAGCAAGGCTGACATGGCATTTGCCTTGGGAAGCACTTTCAGGGGGGGCGGCAAAAAAGCATCCCCCAAACGCCTTGTCAGATGCCTTGTCAGACTTGCGATAAATACAGAGCCTGCCAATTATCACCTACTGCTGATAATTTGGTTCCTAAAATCACCCTCCAAATTACCCTCTCTTTCTTTCCTCCCAAACTAGACTGGCCACCATGGCCTTCCCCCCCCCCAAGGCTGGCATCTGCTCATGTTGGAAGCTGGCGGCGAGGGAGCACTGTCACTCCGGCCCTGGCATCACTAAGAGGCAAGCGAGGGGGCTGAGCAGGAAGATCAGAGCTTCCTTGCCACCTCCTTTGACCACCCGCCAGGCACTGAAAGGACCCCTGGGAAATAGAAAATCCACTCCAGCACACCCAAAAGATTTTTTTCATGGAGCTGGTTTTTAATGCTGGCCGATTAAAATCAGATATACACTTTGTGTGGTCAAATACAAACACCAACAAATAGCTGCCCTTATTTTTCTCCTCTACAAACACTTGCAGATATTTGATACCGGCCTAGGTTAATGTTTGTATTAACTAATAAGAATGCCAGGATCGGAATGTGTTTTTCTTAAAGGCCCAGAAACCATCCAGTTAATATACAAGAGGCCGTATGCTGGCTCGTTACACAAACTGTTAACAACGAACATGAGAGAATCACGCAATAAATTGTGGGAAACATGAAGGATTCTGGCAGATTTTTCCAAGGTATCCTCTTTCCAACTAATCTAAAATACTGCACAACTATGCAGGTTTGTTAAGCCCACTGAACAAGTGTTGATTAAATAAACTGTCCCTGCAGCAAAAATAATGACTGCTGACTTTACTGTTCAATCTAAAGACACCTATCAAATGTCCCTGGAAAAAAAATCGAGTTTTAAATAAGTATAAATATTCTTTGATAGCTCTACACAGTGCATCCGTCTCTAGTTAAAATAAACAGACGTATCCCGTGTTTACTATTACAGCAATGTGCAGTCCAAATTATATTCTTTTTTTAATACAAATCGTGTTATCAGTATAATGATGCAATGCACAGTTCTTAGAATGTTGTAGCAAGGATAACAGCTTAGCTCCAAGTAATGTTCTCATTAGCACTAGATATGGCTGCGATTTCATGACTCTCGTATAATTTCTTACTTGTTCCTAGGAGAATTTAGTGTAGGGGAGGACTTGAATATTCGATACATTTTATCACTCCTGCCAGCAATGTTTCAGACGTGATGATGATATTAAACTGTCCATTCCTTCTTCAGTTGCTGGAAGTGGAGTGCTGTAACTCCGCAGAAATGTAACACTTTGTATGCTGCAAAAATGTCAACTTGAATTATCAACGCACTGCTGATCTGTTCATTTACATTCGGCCATTAGTATTGTGGATTCGCGAGCTGCGTTTTAACAAGTAATAGAAATACAATATGCTTAATACAAACTACTCCTCCACATACTCATTGACATACATACTCAATTAATAACTGTGCTCCCAGCATACCAACCGGAAATAGACTGGGGATAAAACAACTGTTCTGGAAAAAATTCCGCAGTCCTTTGCCTCCTCAGTCTTGTACAGTGTTGGCAGTTTTAAATAAGGGCAAACTTAATGATTGGTCTACTTTTAACCCAACTATTAAAATAAAATGGCTCATAATCAGTCACCCAATAAATGCTACAGACCTGCTTACAGCCTGCCATGCCAGTAAATTTTTATATATATATATATATATATATATATATATATATAGTTAATACTATGTTAAACAAAAATCTGCACACCAGTAAAGCCATAAGACTTGCTTTTCCCACAGAAATCACACATTTGCAGTGATGTTACTACCGCAAAGGATTCTGGGTGGGCATATGCAAATGAGCTCAACAAAGAACCAAATTTTAGCCTCATTATTCCATTTTAAACATGGATTCCTTTGAGTCTGTGTTTGCTCTATACAACAGCTTTGAAACACAACTTAGGAAAAGATGCAAAGCCAGTGAACCACCCATGAGTGATATACATATACATTTACTGGCAGGCTGTAAGCAGGCCTGTAGCTTTTATTGGGTGACTGATTATGGGGTTTTTGCCATTAAAGTTACTCAGTGGACTCAGAGTTCGGATTTTGGGGGTGTATAGTTTTAGAAGGTAAAAGGGATTACCATGAAAACTCCTAACCTGAACCTGATCCATGTAATACTACGCACTGTTTAACCTACTGCAAGAGGTTCATACACCATTACAGCACTAGGCACAACTGTGCCCTCCCACTCTGCAATCATGCACATTATTTTAAACAATGCTATAACGCAGCCGCAGTATTTTGTTGCTTTGAGACTGTTCAGAGAATTGACTTGCAACGAAACTAGAGGTCCTTGTGGAGACTAAGCAAAGCAATTTTATATATAATATGAAGGAAAGAGCCTGAGCTCACAGCATCCATTACCCAATATATTTCTTCTTTCAAACACCCCCCCCACCCCACCCCCCAAGGAAAGCCACCACATTCTTGCTTATCCGCCATATCACAAACAAATGGTGAATTCATACCCCACACTGGGTAGGTGTTAATCTTCTTGTCTAAAGAATTTTCTTAACAGTATTTATAGCATTATTGAACTTGTTTCTGATAAGCACAAGATGTCTATCTGTCCTGTTTCTTAGTGGGGGGCTCTCAGCAGTGACTTGTCACCTTCGCTCAGCTTCCTGGATGGAGGTGTGGAACTGTATCAGACCAAGATTCTAACAGCTGTGTTAAGGCCTACCGAGCACAGCAAGTACAAGAAGGAACAACACTCAAAACCACTGATTAATGTTTACTTACCATCAGGGAGTAAACTGTATCTTAAAGTAAGTGTCACTAGACCATTCTAGAATGCACTACATTTTGGAGGATTTGCTTTTATGTCACATTACTATTAGGGAGAGTGGCCAGTAGCTGTTAAAGTGTAACTGTCACTTCTCTGGAATTTACGCCAGTGAATAAAAGATAAAAAAATTGACTAGAATGTGTATCAGCCTTTTTTGGGGGGTTTTTAAAGTTATATTAAAGATTTCGCAAATTACATCATAATTAATTTCAGACATTACTAAAGGTACAAAGAACAGAGCAAAGGATGATTGACAGGTAGCGAAAATGGAGGCACATTTCTACATTTAATTTTATTTTTCATACATCAAAATTGCATATTTCTTAACGCCTTAATTCCGTTACGGCGTTCTATGCCATCCACATTTAAATGCTTAAAGGCTTTAAAGCCGTTGTGGCGGCATAGAACGCCGTAACGGCTTAAGCCCCCAGGGGGTCCGCGGTTCTTACCTTCACCGCGATCCTCTTCAGGAGGACTGTCTGAAAGCCCAGGCAGCCCTCCCACGGCAAATCAGGCCCCCAGGGGCCATGTGATCGCTCTAAAAGAGCGATCACATGGCCCCCTATAGCTGGCTCTAGATCTGCCTGCAGACAGACTGTCTGGACTGTCAAACAGTCCCCCTGCTGGTGGGAAAGTAAAAAAAATATATTATTAGACATGTAAAATAAATTAAATGTATTTATATATATAGATATATATCAAATATATATATATATATATATATATATTATATATATCATATATATACATCTTATATATATGTAATGTCATACATAGTGTATTTTAATACTAATATAAGTACATATATTAGTATTAAAATACACTTAGAATGAAGTTAAATATATATAAGCTATATTTATATTATATATATATATATATATATATACATATATATACATAAGACATATATATATATATATTAAATTTATATATATGAATAATTTCAATAATAAATAAATAAAATAATAAAATATATAAATAAAACTTTTTTTTAATTAAAATAAATTATATATACATATGTAATTTCATTCTAACTGTATTTTGTTATTAATATATATGCCTCATGCAGCCCATCGTTGGGAGGTTTGATTCTACTTCGGGAGGAGGTGAGTAAAGAGCCCAGTCGGCAAAGGCCCATGCATGTCCCGATGAGATCCACAGGCTGCGCGGCCTGGAACTCCGCTGAGTCGTGCAGGATGATTTGATATTCGAACCACAAAGGAAGGGCATGGGTGAACTCCCCTGGTGTTTCCCCGGTTGAATATGCCACTTCTGGGGATCGATGGGGCTGGATGCGATCAATATTTGTCAGGCTTATGATTTTGGGCCTGGAGTGATTGTAAATGGCATCTGAACCATGTGGATGCTTGTCCCCGCCCCCGTTGGAGTTGTTTTTGATCTTCCAAGACAGTAAGCTGTCAATTCACCACATCACCGATTCAGTAAATACACCCCTAAAATGTTCCTGTTTAGACTGTGTGTAGTCATTCCATTGCAGACTAAAAACATTTGCGTTTACAATTAAAACATTTAAATATTCAGTGTTACAAATAAAAAGTACATATTAAATGCTGGCACTAAATCAATATGTTAAATAACTCTAACAAAAAGTAGGTATATTTTTATTTTAGAATATTTCACCTTAAATATAAATATAACCCTAAATTAACCAGTTTATTCTCACCAATCCAGAATTATTGGTTTAATTGGCACAAAAAAACTGTATTACATTATCTGTTGCAGTATTAATTTTAAATTATTAATTTGAAAACATCTGAATCACCTATCTTTAACAACAGTTTTTCTTAGATACCGCAGCATTTAAAAAATATATATTTTCAAACAATAAGACATATACTCTGTAAAAAAAATAAAAAATATCACACATTGCATGTTCTCATTCACATCTTGTATTGGATGTTGTCAAATAATGTTTTTATTTAGTTTCATAGATGGGGAGTCACAAAAAAAGGAAAATGTACTTTTCATTGAAATCAAGGTGATATATTTGCTTGTGCTTACTCACGAATCACATTTCCTTAAGAAAATACAAGAAAGTGTGAAACAATGAACTATAGCATCCAAATTAGATTGTATGCTCTTCAGGACAGAACCTCTTACTTCTGTCTGCTCCATTTGAGGAGCCTATCTTCTTTTTAATGAGATGATATTGCAACCATATATCCCTATACTTTTACAGGATTTTATAACATTATTGGAGCCTACAATATCACAATTTTCTTTACAGGTTAGTGCCAGTTGTTTTAAGAAAACAAACAAAAACCAAATAAAACAGTATACATTAACAATAATGAATATACATTGTCACAGCCATTTGTGTTCACGCTGATGGCTCACAGATTCTAAAGAAACAGCAATTGATTTTAAAATAACTTACATTTGTTCATGGCAACTCTGTAATGTGTATGCAACAGTTCAGACTTGGCAAGTGTTCATATCAGCTCGTACCACCCTGTGCCGTTCTCTCCAATCTATAGACATTATCTATAAAAACATCATCTCACAGGTCAGCGGAAGAATTTAACCCGTCTGTAAATTTATTGCATCATTATATACTTTGAAATGTATCTCACTAATTTAATGAATTCTAACATTAAAAAAAGAAACATAACTCCATGGTTTTGTGGCCCAAACATCTGATTATTTCTTATTATTCTGCTATATTCAAAAATATGCAGAAATAATATGCACACATCGTCTAGAAAACATTATCTTGGCATCAACATGTACTGTATAGTCAATATCAATGTAATAAGTTAAAAACTATAACCTAAAAACTCAAGCATCTAAACACTTTATTAAAAAATGCATCTATAGTTTTACAGCGACACGTGCAGCTGGTCAGACAGAGATGTTTTCCTTATCAGTTCTATTGATTTATAGCCACATTCTTCTAAGTCATCATTTCATTCAGCTATTTTGTTATATAAAGGGTTTTTTTTTTGTTTCTTTTATAATGTACTGCACAAGTCTCCCTGCTTATCATTTTCCAGTGGATCTATTATGCTTTTAATTAAAAATACATAATTTGGGGGGCGGAGTCAACAGCGGACCAGAGCGGACGTGTTACAAGAGAGCTCCACAACAACAAGCCTGTAAAAGCACCTAAAAACTTTCTTTTTCGCAACAAAGAAACACCAACAGCATGGGGAAGAAGTCCAGACGCCAGGGACCTGTCAAACTAGCGGGATCCCAGGATATTGGAGATCTCCTGCTCCGGCCGTCCAGGGCCCATGGCACCTTCGCGCCAAAAGAAAATGGCGACTCACTCTCAGCCTCCTCCGAAGAACGGATTATGGACGTGCTGGACGAGATCCCAGATGGAGGGGGACTTGATCACCCCTCCTCCGATGAAGACAACGAGCTGCCGTCTACTAAGGGCGACATCAAAACGCTTCTCCGCAATATCCGACAGCTATTTGCGGCAGACATTGCGATAGTGCGCGAAGAAATACATACAGTGGAGGGACGCGTGAAAGCAGTAGAGGCGGACACACAGGGCCTTTCTGCCAGATCCCTCGCTATGGAGGCACTAACAGCAGAGCTCCAAAACGCCCAAGCGCAACTTACCACTAGAATGGACGCCATGGAGGACAGGCACAGAAGCAGAAATATTAAAATCAGAGGCATTCCTGAGTCAATCACTACGGAAGAGTTACCCCACTACACCAGGAGGGTGCTGAGCACTATACTGAACCCCAAGCAGAACAAGCAAGTCATGGTAGACGGGATATTCCGCATACCAAAAGCAACTAAGGCCCCAGCAGACTCATCAAGGGACGTTATTGTTCAGTTCCAGACGAGATCGGCGTAAATACTAGTAATGACAGCAGTGAGGGGAACACTTACCTGCCCCTTCGAAAACGCTCACCTCATGTTCTTCCAAGACCTGTCCAGACCAACACTACTATGGAGAAGTCAGTTCAAACCACTGACCACGACTCTTCGTAACCACTCCATCCCATACCGCTGGGGATCTCCCAGGAGCCTAATTATACCACAAGGAGGGAAGAACTTACGACTTACCACCGCCGCGGAATCAGATGCAGCACTCCAGGCCTTAGGAATACCACATCAGCTGGAACAAGAGGCGCAGGCTCCAGGGCGGAGAGCATCACATAGCTGGGACATGGCTAAGATTGTACCGTTCCAACCGTGTGGGACCCTCAGAATGGGCCAGGTCCCCTCATCCCCACTCTCGACCTCCAATAGCACTGGGAGGAAGGAGCAGCACCAGCAAGGCACCTGAGATACCGACAGGAACTCACACAATCTTGTCCGACAGGAATACTCCCCTTCTCCACATCACACTTAACCGGGAACAGCATTTTGAGTTTTTCAGCATGTATGCATATCCTTAGTGGAAAGCACCAGAGGACTGTGAGTAATTACATGTCATTAGTGCCCAGGGAAACCGAGGTACTAGCAATTGTTGCGCTAATCGGGCGCCTGTATCCACAGACGCATACCAGTATATAAAAACGCTGGCCTGGCTTTTTTTTTTTTTTTTTTTTATTATTATTATTAACCGTTTACACTCCCTGGCTCATAAAATGTCAATGTCACAATGTTCGTTTGCTGCAGTTCGCAAAAGGTTAATACCCTGTCAGATACATATATCAGGTCCTGACGTTTAGAATTTAATTTGCCTGTCTGTGATAACAAATAGATCCACACAGTAGGTGAATCTATGAGTATTTAAATGGAAAGCTGACTCCATCTAAAGTGCAATGTTGTTGTATCAGTGCAGAGGAGGGAACAACTCTAAACCATTATGGAGAGCGTAGCACGTGGATTGTCCCTAAACATTGGTCTCCACCCTATGCACAGAGACACACAATAATAAAGTAATTAGGGTAACACAGGCTTGACAACACACACCAGATCCAAGCCACGTTAAAACCTACGAACTGATACTACAACCCCCTAAACGAAAACCTCTAAGGATAGCAAAATAGCACAACACTATAAGTCTCCCCCCCTTCCTCTCCACGTATCATCTTTAGTTTTAAATGCAAGCAGATGTGTCGATCTGAGAGGGCCACGAACAAGAGAGCAACAGGGCAGAAGGGAGAAGGCAAACCACAGCCATTACACTGCCCATCACGCATAACCTAGACACGCCATACAACCCACCCCCTCCCACCCCCTCCGAACTCAGGGTTACAGAGCACCTCACCGAGCCTACAATGATAGCAACTGAATCGGCTCCACTCCAGAAGCTTAGTATAGCATATACTAGCCTGCCTATTAAGTGTTACCTTTTTTTTTTGTTTCCTTAAAGATATTGTGCACTGTATATACATGTCAAGCCTCACTACAACGATACATGCACTCAAAAATAAAGAATTTATAAAGGGAAAGAGAAAAAAAAGGGAAGGTATGCATTTCATATTCCCTTGTTAAATGATTAAGAACTTCCACTAAACTAAGGCTGGCAATACATATAGCCTACATCATCCTTCGAACAGGCAAAATCTATGATAAATGCCACAAATGGCATTACAAGACTCAGCGGTTCCCTTGTTTTAAGGCCTTGGTTTAATGTCCGCCATTTTACTTTTATTATACCTCCTCGCTCTAGTTAATGCCTTAAAGGCAACTTGTTTCCAGTGGCCCTAAGCCTTGTCAGCGGTCAGTACAAACCATATATATGCAGATATAGGCCTAAAAAATCTTCTATGCTACCATTTATATCTCTCATATGCTAACTAACAGGTGCAGAAAGTTATTACCACTATTGTTTGAGTCTCATAGATTAACTTGGATACCCTACAACTTGTATTATATGCTACTGGTGGAACCGTGACATGTAACTTAGCTCCAAGGCCACAAAACTGTTTATACCAATCTTGTTATTGCTTGTGCGACCTGCCCTTAAACGTGTTTTATATCTTACATTATGCATAGTGACATGATCACTTCCTTTATACTCGTATCCTAAGAATGTGCAAGTCTCATCTGTTACCTACCTGTTCACACAGAATGTTGAAGCTTGTTTGACCACATAAACTAAAAATTGTGCATGTTCCTCATACGTCATATAATGCATTGTTTGTGTTTATGGAAGCTTGCCTATGCTAATGTGACATATTATAAGCTTGCCTGTATTCTATCATATATGCACAACCAAAATAAAGAATTAAAAAAAAAACTGTTACTGGACTGTTAGGGAGTACTTGAGGACTGGGTTGGGAACCACTGGTCTAGATGTTCTGAGTGTTCCTAATTATATTACACTGGCACATACTCAGAATTATCAGAAAAAAGGACATTGTCACAGTGTGACAAACTGCCCTTCCCACATGAGTTTGCCACGAGCTCCTGTAGGAGCATACTTGCCAGTCTCCTGCCCACAGACTGTGGGCCCTGCAGGGAAACCTGTAAAAGACTACCGAACTTGACCGACTGTTGTCACTGATTTCATGGAAATGTTTTGGCATAGGACCATGTGCGCGGTCGGTCAAAATTATGACTTCCATGAAAATCCCAAACCCCTGAACCGATCTGGGTGATTTTGGATATGTTGGTCACCCATATCGGGGCTTTCATGGGATGTAACTTTTGTGGGGTTTTTTTTTATGTGTTTTAAAGGTATTTTGGGGGTTTTGTAATATTATATTCTTTTCTGTGCCTGGAGATAATTGAGTTAGTTCAGTTCCTGACTCAATTATCTCTCAGACACAGAGGAGGAGTTTGTAACTTGTAACTAGTCCCCTCTCAGGTCCAGGAGAGGGATCATCTTGTGTGTGTGGATCACTGTTCCAGTGTGGAGGATTCAGCTGGGAAAGTCCTTGTAAGGACTAGAGCTCCCAGGACTGAGTGTTGTCCAGTGCCTGGGGGTGCATAGAGTGAGTTCCCCATTTGGCTCCAGGAGGGAGCGGTTCCAGGACCCCAGTCAAGCCACTACAACTGTGGGCAGAAGTGATGCAGTTTGTCCCCTGTTCCAGCTAGCAAGCGGTTCTTGGTGGAGGTACCCAGCCAGGGGTACAGGGAGCTCCGTTATACACAGTTTTTACCAAATGTAATATTTGGAATAAAAGAGGGACAAACCATGTCTAGTGCATTTGCTTTCATAAATTAATACTACACCTTAGTAAAAGTTAGAGCCAGTGTATCACCTCAACATCAGGCTTCCCTGCTTCCACATTAAACATTTACTGTATGAGTGTCATATTTACCTGTTCCGAGGCTCCTTCTCACTGCTCCAACATTAAGATGGACGTAGCATACTGTTCGTGCGTGTCCGTTTATATTTGTTTTCACCTACATTTTAATGGCACAACTCAGAGTGCTGATTTGGCAGGCATAAACAAAATCATGAAAGACTGGAATTCGGCAATTTGCTGAACTTGCGTTTTCTGGGAATTTGATATGATGCTACCCGATCAAAAAAATGCTAAAGCTATTTAAACCCCGTCTTCTGTTGTCCCAATCGCCCTGTTGTAGTTCTTGTTTAGCCCAATAATGCGTTTGCTATTACTTTCATCACGTATTACTGACCTTGGCTCGTTTACCGTTTATTCTATTCTTTGTGCTTTGTGTGATATTTGGCTTGTCTACCGTTTATTCTGTTTTCTCCTATGCTTGATCTCAGCTACCTCTCTGACCACTCCTCATGTTAAGCCCGGCAATTCTAAGGTCCGGTAATATGGTGGGTTATATTCTTTCTTGTAGGTTAGGGTCTGTGTGTTTGGGTTCCCTTACACATACCGTGACAATAAGTCCTCGTGCTGTAAATGGCAATTGGAAAGAGAACAGTAGGTGTTTTAGACCTATAAGGGCCATTGACAAAGTAATTCCATCATAATTAAACAGTCTCTATCATAGAAAAAAAGTAAAAAATGCTTCGTACAACTTATAATTTAAACAACACACAACTGGAAGTTTATACAAACTATGTTCCCTTGTGGTCACTGTAGTTTAACCTTTCGTGAGCAGATTCCTCAGCAAATATGTAGTTAATTAGCATTAATATTAGTTGTATGGTGTTTGTTTGTAACTGCTAACTCTGCAGAATGTTATCTTTTTATAAGGAATCATGACAAAAAGTCTCACATGACAATATCCATGTGTTATTCTGCAGAGCTCTTATCTTAGCAATCAATATTGTAGACATTTAATAAGTCATCCACGAATAACAGAGTGGTAGACATTTTCTCCCATAAGGTAATAATACTCTGTTGGATAAACTCTAAATCATAATATTTTCAGTGGTTATACACACTAATTATTCTCAGTCAAAGCCTTCAAATGTCTGCACAATCTCAGGGAGGTAGCAGGAAGTTTGTGTGTTTAATGTATTGCATTTCAAGGTCACACTGACAATGCTAAAACTCTTCTACGAGGTTGTGAGCAAATTAAGAGACTATGTTTTGGCCCACTATTTGACTGTAAGTGTTTTGTTCAAAAGTTAATCAAACCGTATAAGGAAAAATAATTATCCACGTTCGCTAGAAATGTGGGAACTGCAGAAAAGGGAGCGTAACTATGTTAAAACGCCCAAGCAATTAAGTAAAGATGTGTGGTTCGTGCAGATATAATGTGTATTCACGAGAAATTGAAATGTAAAACTAATCACACAAAGGTTAAGTCAGACAAAGAAATAAAACATGTTAGTCTAAAAAATAACCAGATTATTAAATCCACCCTTCTCTAAAAATAATTGCACAGTCTGGATTGATTAAAGAGAAACTGTCACTTTCCCAAATCGCAAAAAACCTAATAGCTAACCAAAAGTTCTAGGTTGTGCTAAAGTTATTTAAACATTCTTTGTCCTTTATTTACTTTTTGTATGCTTTGCCATGATTATTTAAAGGAGTTTACTCTTGCATTGTCATAAGCACAGCGCATGCACGGACATTACTGATGCATGGGGCAGTGAAGTAGCCTCAATTCAGAAGTGCTGCATAGGTAAGAAAGATTTTTAATACTGCGATAGAAGGAACAATGAACTGTCATTTCTCGCGACGTGAGTTCTGCTTTAAGATTTTGATATATTATTGCCGTTTAAAATGTCCATTATTCAAGATGATTCTATTAAGGAATTGTAATGGTTCTGTACTTAACTAATTGTATTAAAATTCAAGTTGTCCAATATTTGTCCCTTAATTTCTGCTAAATTTAACAGGCTTAATCAGAGGATTTAACATTATTTGTTTTAGAGTTTTTTTAATGATAAAAACAAACTGGTAAATTATAGCATAGCAACACTGCAATTTAGGTTGAAAACAAGGCTTACGTTAATTTCTTTAAACCTTTAATAGAGCGCTGTTGCTGCTTTTGTTCCGAATGAAAGCAAAAAACAACACCATAAAGAAAATTCTACAGTCAAGAAGGGTAAAAAATCTTCTTTGATTTCTTTGAGTCAACATACTATTATTAATAATAATATTTATATTATCATAACTGTATATATTCAGCTTTACTAAAAATAATCTACCCCCTTGTTAAACAATGTATTGTATTTGACTAACAACTTCTATATAAAATGAATTTCAGATCTTTATTTTTATAAGTGTAAATAATCCTTTATCATTGCTGTAGGTAAAATCTCCCTCCCTCAAATCTCAAAGAATGACCTTACATTCTTTGTACAATGCTGTTGATGAAGTTTTTGAACTTTTTTAGCCTATCTTCATAACTAAAATAAATGTTTACTTTGTTTCATTAGCTTTGCATCCCAGATTTGTATTTTATTTTTTTTTCAGTTTTAAAATGTTGTGTTTTTTTTTGTTTTTTTTATTGATCACAGACGTATGGGGTATATATTCAGAGGTAATGTCATAGTTTAAAATTTTAAAATTATAATATTTTATATAATTTTTTTAAAAATTTTTTGTCTTATAGATATTAAATAAATGTTACATAAAGTCTTGCTTGTTTTATTTATTTACATTTCCTAAATTATACTTTGGGATTATCTTGCTTTCAGTCCCTTTTGATAAAGGCTTTTGGTCCCAAATCCATGGTTTAAAATGTATGAGATCTTAAGACACATGGGACCAGATATTGGATCATCTGGGGTATGGGCTAGGTTGCTTAAGAATGTCCTAGTCCAATCTCTATGTCTTGGTACTTGGGGAAGGGAAGGATTAGAAGAATCAACTGTAGAGATAGAGCACTGATATTGTAAATATTAATGTCAATTCTCCAAATTACATAAAAGGATTGAAAAACACTTAAAGAAATTAAAAATAAACAGAAAAACACCTCAATATGCACTCGCTAGATTATTTCTATCCATATTGTCTTCACACAAGAAATTTTGACCAGGCACACACAAGCTTGATAAACGCACCCGTGTGAGCCAAAGTGTTGTATGGTTTTCCAATACATTGCCTCAACACTACCTGTATGTACCTGGCCCAACTTTCTTCATGATTAGTAATGAAAAAAACTATTCATCCTATCTTCTTAGTGTTAGGATGGTTTCAACAGATATGGCAATTACGTACATATTATATATGTTCCCTCACTTCTCAAAAGGGTTTACAGAGCACAAGAAGGTTATCACCATGGTCTCATCAAATTTCCAGATTAAAATAATTCCATTGAAAAATGGAAATAATAATGCACAGTAAGAATAGTAGAATGTGGCAGTTGTTTCTATGTGCAATAAAATACCTAAAACTGTCACCACCTATGAGAAATATCAATGAAACTAAAAATCAGTGACGTTTTGGAGAACGTTTAGCATGAACTGACATCATTGCACAGATCACATTTAATTCAATCAAACCCTATCAGGGACTGATGCACACAACAACTGATGGTTTCAGAGCTCTGGACAGCACAATTGATACACAAAAATAAAAAGTTTACACTTGTTTATTGAAGTGACAAATATGGTCACATGAAAGTGTTTGGACAAACAACATCTGAAAAGGCTCTTCTAAATTATAAAATACAGCAGTTTCAGGTAAAAGGAAACTCGGTCATATAATTGCTTAATAGTTTCCATTCTCAATTATATTGTAAAATATAGGTCAAAGTAAAGATGGTAGAACAGTTGTAAAAATATCACCCAGTAAGTTGATGGTGCTTAATTTTTGCAATTTGGTTGTTAATTTACTACAATAAACTATCAGGTAAATAAGCCCCCCTCCCGTCGGTTGTCTTAGGACCAGCATTTAAACTCCAGGCCACACAGGTCTTTACTCCATTACTGCTTACTTTGTCTGAGTGTGGAGGATGTAGGAAAGACAAAGCCCTTCCATCCTCATTGACAACTCTCATTACCGCGATGATGGATAAGTGGGTTTTAAAGTGCAATCATAATAAGGCAATAAAGTAATTGCTGCTTAGCTTAGCTGAATATTGACTCCCAACACGTTTCTGTTACCAGAGATAAACCAACTTTATTAAAATGGAAAGGCAGTAAAGAAACCTGAGAGAAACCTTTTTGAATTAGAACGGGCGTTAATTATCACATTAACTCATTCTGAAACTGGAGTTATTTATCCCAAGTGCGTTTTCAGACTTTTAGTGTCAAGACGTATTGTGTTTGTTCAAGAAAAACATGAATGTGAGTATTGCAGGCAGAGTTACCAATTCACGTCTTTCACAGGCAGTTAACAAAACAAATGGCTCCGAGGGCCATGCATGAATTAAGTCCTCTAATCTTTTTACATCCCAGAGCTGTCATCTGATAATCTAGCAAACTGTGAAGATTTCAGCACCATTACTCTCAGCAGATTGAGATGCAAAATGTGGCTTATTTTATCTCAGCCACTTAATGCCACTTAATGCCACTTTCCATTTGAAATAAAGCCATTCCCACTCAGTTTCAGCAAATTGGATGGTTAACCTTTTGAAAATCCAAAGGGTCATGCTAAAAGAGATAATCTGCTATGATTTGAAAAACTGGGAAAGAAAGAAAGAAAGGACAGGGCTGGAGAAGAAAGAAGAGGAACTGTTAGGTGGGGCAGAGGGGAAAAATATTGAAAAGGAAGAGGTTAAATGAAAGAAAGGGGAAAAACACATGTACAGGGGAAAAAGGTCGATAGACAGGGATAAAGAAGTGGATAGTGAGTACAAGACAGTGGGAGAAGAGCAGCCGAACTGTAACATTTTTGGATGTTTGAAGTATGATTGACAGTTTAGAGTGTCCGCTATTGTCCCATCATTCTATGTGATGTATTATACGTTAGATGAGCTTTCCTTTAAAAAAAAATAAATGCTTCTCATACAGGGTTATTCATTAACGTAAGAATTCAAAGTAAATTCTAAGTGGGTTTATATTTATGGCCAAAACAGCCAAGCTGGAAAAATCTTTTCAGTTTGGATACACTGGCCTTTCATTTGAAATTCACTTTAAATTCTCACTTCAGTAAATTCAGTAAATAACCTTGTACATATGACAGCGGAGTGCCTCAGTAACCCTGTACATATGACAGCGGACTGCCTCAGTAACCCTGGACATATGACAGCAGAGTGCCTCAGTAACCCTGGACATATGACGGCGGAGTGCCTCAGTAACCCTGTACATATGACAGTGGAGTGCCTCAGTAACCCTGGACATATGACAGCGGAGTGACTCAGTAACCTGTACTTATGACAGCGGAGTGCCTCAGTAACCCTGTACATATGACAGCGGAGTGACTCAGTAACCCTGTACTTATGACAGCGGAGTGCCTCAGTAACCCTGTACATATGACAGCGGAGTGCCTCAGTAACCCTGGACATATGACAGCGGAGTGCCTCAGTAACCCTGTACATATGACAGCGGAGTGCCTCAGTAACCCTGTACATATGACAGCGGAGTGCCTCAGTAACCCTGGACATATGACAGCGGAGTGCCTCAGTAACCCTGGACATATGACAGCGGAGTGCCTCAGTAACCCTGTACTTATGACAGCGGAGTGCCTCAGTAACCCTGGACATATGACGCGGAGTGCCTCAGTAACCCTGGACATCGGCGGAGTGCCTCAGTAACCCTGGACATATGACAGTGGAGTACCTCAGTAACCTGGACATATGACGGCGGAGTGACTCACCTGTACTTATGACAGCGGAGTGCCTCAGTAACCCTGTACATATGACAGCGGAGTGCCTCAGTAACCCTGTACTTATGACAGCGGAGTGCCTCAGTAACCCTGTACATATGACAGCGGAGTGCCTCAGTAACCCTGGACATATGACAGCGGAGTGCCTCAGTAACCCTGTACATATGACGGCGGAGTGCCTCAGTAACCCTGTACATATGACAGCGGAGTGCCTCAGTAACCCTGGACATATGACAGCGGAGTGCCTCAGTAAGCCTGTACATATGACAGCGGAGTGCCTCAGTAACCCTGTACATATGACAGCGGAGTGCCTCAGTAACCCTGGACATATGACAGCGGAGTGCCTCAGTAACCCTGGACATATGACAGCGGAGTTCCTCAGTAACCCTGTACTTATGACAGCGTAGTGCCTCAGTAACCCTGGACATATGACAGCGAAGTGCCTCAGTAACCCTGGACATATGACAGCGGAGTGCCTCAGTAACCCTGTACTTATGACAGCGGAGTGCCTCAGTAACCCTGGACATATGACGTTGGAGTGCCTCAGTAACCCTGGACATGTGACGGCGGAGTGCCTCAGTAACCCTGGACATATGACGGCGGAGTGCCTCAGTAACCCTGGACATATGACGGCGGAGTGCCTCAGTAACCTTGGACATATGACAGTGGAGTGTCTTACTATCATTTGTTTGAATCTCAAAATGGATTCTCTTTTGATCAAATAACAGTTATTTTTACTAAGTGTTTCAGTCTATGAATAGTAAACTAAACTAATAATAAAACTAAACTAAATAATTATTTATAATTATTTATAAAACTAATATTTATTTATAAAATATTTTACCAGGAAACCTACATTGAGCTTTCTCTCATTTTCAAGTACATTGCATCGATACAATAGAATACAATAAAATACAAACACATTATTAATACACAATAAATACAAAATTTAACATAGAACAGGTAGGAAATATATAACCAACCACGATAAAATGGTGGGAAATTCTAGTCCCCCTACCCACATTAAAATAAAAGGTATGTAATTGTAGAACTAGTAAGGTTGTGTTTGAAAATTCACAATTCTAAATATGTCACACTAGTGTTTATATAAATGTAATTAAATTGTCATGGTTTAGCTTTAACGATTCTGATATCAGATGATTGGCCGTATGTTGATTTCTAACAATAGGGGAAGCTTGTAATTTTTGCACTCATGTTCTGATGATAAATTAACCAAATATTCATCTGCAACAAATGTTTTAGATTTCTATTATTAGTTTTGCAGTAACGTTTACAATTACTTATAGGTGGATATAAAAATAGAGAAGGCATATCAAACAAGATACATATATCCCAACATCTTGACCTTATACAGGGATAGCTAATCTTGGCACCGAAGAGTTGGTGAACCACATCCACGTGGTGCCCGCTTTCGTTACGATTCTACACCTGGAATAGCTAGAAAATTAAGGCATAAAGGTATACATTATGGTAGCACACATAAATTAAAATAAAGACATGTAGCTAACACACGGGAGTGGGGATGTTTAAATATATTGCCCCCTTGTACAAGGTATCTGGACTAGAACATCATGGTATTAGATAATGCTTGTTGATTGCTATAGCTCTCTAGGAACTGACATATTTTACTAACCTTAACTTTGGCCATTTTAGTCAAAGTTAGAATTCCAAGTAAAGATACGATAATCTATATTTAGCCATTTTAGGGCTGACTAACCTTTCCAC